GAACAGAGCCCTGAGGGACTCCTGTAGTTAATTGACAAGGGTCGGACTCTGACCCTCTCCAAGTTACCCTGTAGGTGCGGTCTTCGAGGTATGAGGTGAGGAGGGAAAGTGCAGAGCCTGAAACTCCAAGTTCTTGGAGAGTGCGAAGGAGGATCTGATGGTTCACCGTGTCGAATGCAGCAGACAGGTCCAGAAGGATGATGACAGAGGAGAGGGAGGCTGCTTTAGCTGTGTGCAGTTCCTCAGAGACAGCAAGGAAAGCAGTTTCTGTGGAGTGACCTGCCTTGAAACCAGACTGGTGCGGATCAAGAAGGTTGTTCTGATGGAGATAACAGGAGAGTTGTTTAATATCTTTGGGGAAATAAAAAACCCAGTTTATTTAAACAATTCCTGTGTCCTGTTGCCTTACTGCTTGGTCCCTGACAATTGGTTTGATGTATCTCACTGTAAGACATCATACAATGTCAGAAATCTCAGTGTAGTTTGGGAATCAGTTTCAACACCCGCATCAAAAGGAATTACAAAAGCATATTACCACCTAAAAAACATAGCTAGACTGAAACACTCAGGTCTCAAGACAATCTCGAGAAATTGGTCCACGCCTTTGTTTTTAGCAGGTTTGATTACTGCAAAAGTGTCTTTACATGTCCCAATACATATATGACAATAAGTGTCTGACATACTGCTCTTTTACGAGCCCCCCAGAGCTCATCAGAACCAAATGCACATAGAATCAACTTTGTGTCTGAAATATCCTATATAAATAAACTAACCTTAACTTTACACAAAGCCTGTGAAAGAGTAGAAGTACAGGAGTGTAGGAATCCTGTTACAAGTAAAAGTCATGCATTCAAAATGTTACTCAAGTAAAAGTACAAAAGTATTAGCATCACAATATACTTAAAGTACCAAAAGTAGTAATGAATGTGTTTATCAAAGCTGGTAAATGTGCAGCTAGTTTTAATGACACTGCATAGATTTCATTTAAAATTTGAATAAAGAGTTACCTGTATACTTCATTTTCACACAACAACCAAGCATACAACATTTTTAGATGTGTTGTCTTTTGCAATAATATCAAAAACTGCAGTCCTTCACTTAAGAAGTTATTTTTAGATGATGTGGTTTGATCGTTGGCTAGCAGACAAGCTAAATATGAGCTAGATTGGTCCTATCGACTCACATAGAAGATAATAGAAAATAGAGCTGACAAAATACCTGTTTTAAAGAGACGTCAGCTAAAGATGGTTATATATTAATCGGCTGGCTTCGGACACAAAAGTGCATATAAACAACACATGGGTCTCCTGCTTCCTACATGCAGGCTACGATACCCTGCGGCATGGAAACTCCTACTACGGAGAGCGAGGAGGGACAAACATGCCCAACGTGTATTTCTGGCTGAACAATGGCTGAACGGGTTGTTAAATCACTTGTTTTACTGAAACCAGTACACAGAAAGGCGACTGGATTGTCTTTCTTAGACCAGTTAACTTCCTTTATTAAACAAACCTTCGAGCAACTTATTTTCAGTAAATAATAACATTGAATGCTGTCAATACAGTATAGATAAAATAAGCTTAGAGGCTCACCTATGAATTCTACTGACATAATGTTTTTATATTACTTGTTCATTATTTGCGTCAGTATTTATTGATATTCTGTAAAAAAAAAAAAAATGTGTTTATTAACCCATACTATGATTGTGGTGGCTTTGGCACACTTGACATTATTATCTTTTTGGCTCAATGTTTCAGGCAGGTGGAAATGACCTCCAAGCAATTATCTTTAATAAGCATGTGACTGAATGGATGACAATTAAAAGTGTTTCTTGCTAATTTTATTCAGAAGCAAAAATGTGAAAAAAATAAATAAATGCTGTCTCTTTTCTGTGTATGGTGTTAAACCCCATGTCCCGCCCGCGGTAGCGAAAGAGTGCTCGACCGATGGGTTCCAGTGAGATATAGCAAATATACCCAATTTTCTAAACCTCTCTAAAAAGGTCAAATTTCACTTGTTTTGCATCAATCTTGATACAGGGTAGTTATTATGTGTTATAGTTTGGATTCCTAAAGCTTTTTTTGTCTACTATCCCATCATTCAAGGGTGGTTTTCACTGTAAGTAGCCTAATGTGTTTTTTTTGGACGGACACAATTTTTTTCACTATGTTCAATCTGAATGTACTTTAAAATAAAAACATCTATATTGATTCTGACTTTTCTACATCCAACTCACCAATTCCAATTAATAAAAGATTATTAATTTACCCCTTTTAAAAGTGAAGATATAGTCATTTGTTCTGAGCATGTCATTTTCGAGCCTGAGACCTGAAAAACAGGCTTGGGGCTTAACAGGCTAAGACAGGGTTAACACACAACATGCCTGATCTCTGTTAAGTGCCTCCATAACCAAATCATCTGTTGGCATTTTACTATTTATTTATCAAAATAGTTATCACTGCAATAAACAGTATTTTATTTTATTTTACTATACAATATTTAATTTTACATTCTGTTCTTGTATATCTTTATTTATTTATGTAAACTCCTGCATTTACTTGGTCACTTACAACATCCTCTGCATTATTAAGCTTATTGTATTTTTTTATTTGTGTTATGTCCTATATAACTATGTTGCAATGTTGGAGGAGCTTGGGACTTAATATGTGTATTGCCATTTCTACACTGGAACTATACTGCGCATATGACGATAAGGCATTTTAATCTTTAATTGAAAAACCTAGAGATTTCTAATATTGCATTTACAATAAGCAAACCCATGTATTCAAAATGTTAAAAGCAAAGGCACATATTGCAGCAATGACCCGAAACATAGCATCATGTTTTAGCCTTTAATATTGAATCAGTGGTGTCTTTGACATTTCCAACACTGTGCTGTATGACCTTTCGTATCACAGAGCCTTTGAACTGCCCCCAACAGTGAATAAAAAGGGGTCACTTTACAGGTGACAAAGAAGAGCTTTTCTGACTCCTGCACAATCCGTGCCAACTCTTTGGATTTGGAAAAATATTGCCCTAAATCATTTTCCTGCTGCTCCTTTTTTATTCATAAAATAAGAAGGATATTTAGTCGAGTTATCAGGACTTTGGCTGAATCTGTACACAGAAGGCAATGTCAGGAAACAGCAGCAACAGTGTTATTCAGGCGCAAAAACTGGTGGATCAACTTCGGGTGGAGGCGTGCATGGAGAGAATAAAGGTATGTACAATTCTGAAGAATATGTTAACATGCTTTATCACATCCAGGTGGATCAAAGCACACTGAACAAGACTTCATTCAGCTATAGTCATGATAAATGTAGTGTGCTGATTCTTGTATAAATACAACATACTCCTGATATTGCTACATCATTTGTGCTACTCAAGATATATGAAACCAAAGTTAAGACTACTTGATTAACTATTTTGAGCCATCATTTAGATGCACTTTGATATATTTGAAAAAATCCAAATTTAACTAATCAGTAATGATTCACTTTATTCTAACTTTTAAGTGTATCTTCATTATAATTTAGGACAATGTGTCATTCTAAATTATACTTCAAATGTACATTTTGGTAGCTTTGTTTCATGTATGTTTTATTAATAGTTATCTGAGAAGGGGTTTAAAATACAATTTGAGTCAAAAGTACAGCTTAATTGTGTCTACAAATTATTGTAGTACAATGAAATGTTGTTATACCACATTCTTAGCAGCACTAGTAATGGTTCATAAGTACAGTAATTTAATCCAGAATAGCACTCTTTATGTAGAGTAATTATGTGCGCCTGTAGGGACACAAGGTATTCTTAGTGTACTTTAAAAAAAAACGAGTATACCTCCAAGTCACTATTTGTTAAAAATAGTTTAACATAAATATTACTGTATCAGAATGCCTGAAAGCCTGTGAATTTCCACTCTGTCCACCTTTCTCCCAGCAGATCTCCCTGACAGCAGGAGACTTGGTGCGGTTCTGTCAGGATCACCGGCGCAGCGACCCTCTGCTCACCGGCATCGCTGCCTCCTCCAATCCTTTCAAAGATAAGAAGACCTGCGTGCTGCTTTGACTGCCTCCAGGACAGATGATCAACACAGATCTCACAGAAAGCAACTGCTTTTTTTTTTTTTACAGTCAAATATTTGAAAGGTCAAGTGTTCGGCTCGAAATACCAAACAGATCATTGCAGCATACCATAATCCCCTCTGTTTCAGCCCTGTTTCAAAATTGCTGATTCTCTGTCTGTTACTTTAGATGAAAAGAAGGAGCCACTCCCCACGCCCCTCTGAGAGATATTTGGTTAAAAAGAACACAATGGTGCTCTAGGACGAGATTCAGGTGATAAGGTGTGTGTGTGTGGGTGGGGGGGGGTACATTGGTTGGCTATTGGCTAACGGTTACACAAGCTAAAAAAAATGATGACATCATAAAGTGGCAAAAATCTGATCAGCTCATATTGAGACAGGTTTTTATATAAATGGATCAGGACAAAAAGAGAGTGAATCTCTTTACACAGAGGGGACACATGTTGATGTATAAAAGACATGACAAAGTGGATTTTGCATAATAGTTGACTTTTAAAGATAACCTTCTAGTGAGAAGATTAATCTCTTGCCACTGAGACTGCACAAACCATTACACTGTTGTTGTTTGTTTAACCTTTCCTTAAGTATCTCCTTGTAGACAATGCATTTTAAGCCTAAATTAAAGACAACACTTGTTTGTACACTTTAGTATTGTGTCTTCTTTACACAACACATTAAGTAGCGCTTAAAGATTCATCATCTAACTATTACATGGGTAACTCAAGTATATATTTGTTCTTACTTGTGAAGCACTTGGTGAAATCTATTCCTGTGAAAGGTGTTATAATAAATAAACATTATGCTTACGATTATTATACCATTTTAGCTTTGTTTAAACATTTAGCATAAAGCCATGACTCCCCATAAGGCAGAAAACACATGCAGCCAAAAACTCAGACACAAGATTTCCAGGCTATTTAATGGTAACTTCTTTAATGGATGGAAATGTGTAGTATTTTGCAAATAATGTATAGTTGGATTCATTCAAGCAATTCAATACTTTTTATAAAGTAACACACACACAAACTAACACACAAGGCCAACATAACTTCCAAACAGATCACACTGACTCAAACTGAGGAGTGTGTTCATATAAAAAGATTTACAAATATAATCCGTGTGTCAAAACACGTCATCAACACGTTTCTACACTTCAAACAGAGTGTCTTTGAAATCTACTGGCACAGAAGGTAAATAAGTGCATGAGACAAACACGTTTCGTGTGTTTACATATTTATAGTTTTGTTTGTAGATAAACTTCTCAACAGGTTTAACAAAGAATTCATGAAAAAGGGCCGAGAGCTTTTGGCTAAAAAAAGTGGCCTTAAACTTCTCAACCATCATACATCAACACATGGAAGAGCAAAAATAATAATTATAATAATAATAAATAGCTTTTAAAGCTTAATCAAGCAACTGGTAATGCATATTTCCAAGAACATTTGTGTGTGTTACTGCAGCAGAATAAAATACTTTGTTTGGACATATGTACCACGAAGGATTCAATTGGAATCATTTGCTGTCCTAACTTTTTGTGGTCATTTTGTCAAGTCACTAACATCTTCAGAGTTTTGCATTTGTTGTTAGTTTAAAATGCTGAAAGACCAGTATGGTGTTTTACAGGCTGAAAGGTCTTATTAACACCTGCTTTCAAGTCTTGTCTCGTAGTTTGCAGGTCTTGCTCATTCAATTTCTGGGCCTCCATATTTCCAAACAATCTTCCCCTGAAGCTACAGCAAGGACTCCAGCCTCGACGCTCAACTGACAGTCAAAGACAGACAGGTGGAGAGTGAGTGAGAGGATGAAGACAAGGGAAGAAATAAACATTTTAGGAATGACAATGAGCCTGGAATAATATACATAGGAAAAACAGACAGGAATTCTATTCATTATGACTTTGTGTGCTTAAGTTAACTTTTTTACAATTTTGTTGTTATTTCTTCATTGATAAAGATGTTTTCTCTCCTTCCCAAATAGATCAAACAGCTAATTACATTACATGCTTTGTTAAATTAACTTAATTAAAGTAACAACATCCTTTTTAAAAGGTTAACACATTTGAATACTAACCCCATTGACTCCCATTTGGTGAGGCATTATGCAAACAGTCCTTGGAGGGGCACAAGGGATATGTACCTGTAATGAGATGAGATTTGTTTTCATTTATTCAACCTTTATTAACACTCATGAGACCATGGAAAGTTAATGCCTTATCAACAATCACATTGAGTCAATTACAAAAAACAAAATAGGCTTGAATGTAGGTTGGGCTACAAGGCATGCGAGAAGCAAGTTTATCCATCATAAAATTGTGCATAGATATTATTTTACACCCCTGAAATTGTTTAAAATGGGCTTATAACTCAGGACAATAAATGTTGGGAATGTAATAAAGATGTGGGCACATTTCTTCATGCTCTAGAGCAGTGGTTCCCAACCTGGGATCCCAAACACCGCAGGGGGTGCGCCAGGCCTCAGATGATTTTAGACTTTTTCTTTTAAACTTTTTTTAAACATATAATTGTTACACAATAAAAATTCAAGTTAGTAGCTAATAAAAGGTATAAAAAGACAGAAATGCATAATATTTTCTATAATAATAATATAATATAATATAAATGTTTCTTCTGCCTGTAAAGGGTCCAAACCAGGCTTTTCTGGATAAGCGCATTTTTAAAACATAGTCATTGTCCATGCCGGTTTCAGTTGGATTATTTGTCACAGTTGCTCCGATCAGATCGGTCTCCTCCATTTTGTAGATTATTTACGACTTTTGAATCCACATAAACACATCGGCAAAATCCGGCTTACTTTGAGCATGTGTTTTAAACAGTTTGATCCCTTTGTGAATGGTTTCCACTTGCGCCGTCCTTTAATTTCTTCATACAGCGCGAATCCAAATGAATGAATCCTGAGTCCAATAACCATCAAAGTCACTCCAATAGAGCTCCTTAATTACGCTTTCATCCTCCTTTAACAAAATACTTCACATTCATCCAGTTTGTGACAGGAGTTGAAGTATTTTTGAGACTTTGAAACTTTAATTACCGCTGTTGCCTTGCCTGTTTCCCCCCCCGCTTTGCGCTGTTTCCCCCCCCGCCCCGCCCCCCCTTCGTGTGTGTGTGTGGGGGGGGGGCGCAACTTCCAACAGGAGTAATTTGGGCGGGGTCTTGGGGAAAAAGGTTGGGAACCCCTGCTCTAGAGTCTATGGGATTGCCCAATAGTACTGCCTTTTTGGAAGGTGGAATTAAAAAACCTTGAAGGGTGGCTTAGAAAACCTCTACCAGTTTGCTAGGGGACAAGTCTGTTGTGCCACCAGGCCTTACTAAAGCAGAACTAGGACTGACTAACAGGTGTTATTGTAGCTGCCAGGCTTATTCTGCACAACTGGAAGAGCCCACATAAGCCAGAGTTTACACAATGGCTTAAAAAATGTCTTTGAAATTATGATCGCCAGGGTAAATAACATCCCAAGCAAATCTAACGGAATGTGGCACATCTTCTTGGCCTATATCAACATTGTCTTAGGGAGGGTACAGGGTACTAGGGACAGGAAGTGTATCCGTGTATATGTATATATACGTGTATATGATATATATGTTGTAAATGTGTATTTACATGCTTGACGTTGATATGTGTGTGCGCATATGGATGTGGGGGGTTTTTGTTTTTGTTTTGCTTCCTCTAAATTGGATGCCTTTGGTTTTGTTTATTCTGCATTTATGCATAAAATGTGAAAAATGGAATAAAAATCTTAATGACAAAAAATTAAATAAAAAATAGGAAAAACTAAAACAACAATAAAGAAATATACTAACAGAAAAGAGGCCATTCTATTATAAAAGAATACGTCATCCTACCTTGACAGTGCAATCAGATGAACAGGTGTAGAGGCTTCCAGCGGACTTGTGGATGCCGGTGACCAGAGCTGTGTGTCCCACATCAAACTGGGACAGAGGTTTGAGGGTCCCCGCCTGCATGGAAAAGGAGTGGAGCATACCTCTGTTGTCCCCTGCCCATACTTCACAGCCACTGTAGCTCATGGACAGCAGGTAAGAGCTCAGCTAGAAATAAAAGGGGTTTGTGAATGTTAGGTACACAGATGCATCTTACCATATATGCAAACTAAAAGAAATACAACACCCACAAAAATACAATGTTTATATCTTTTACATCTAACTGTTGAAGAAAACTTTTTTTTTTCTCATATCTCCACTGTAAACAAAGAATCTAACAACGGAGAAAGGCTTGATGAATTGAAGAAAATGTGGGCCATATTTAACAGCAATACCATAACTAAGTATTCACTTAAAAACGATCACATAAATCATGCAGTATAATCCAGCTCTCATTTATCCAGTGCTCGTTCACAGTGTTGCCAATAGTAAGGTTTAGTGAAAATGCGTTGTTAAAAACAATCCCTGTTAACATCAGTTATCAAGACTTTTAGATTCTTCATGGAGCAATGAAAGAAAAACATGGTTTTCTTCAACAACTCAAGGTTACAGGTTGATGTTCTTTATAAAAACATATCGTGTATACCCAGATTTTCTTCAAGCCCTTGCATGCCCTCCGGTCATAGACAGCCACCGTGCAGTCTTTACTCCCGGAGATGATGTACTTGTCATCTGCAGCTAGGCACATCACAGCGTTGCCATGGAGACGGACGCTTTTCACCAGGGGTTCAGCAGCTGTGGAAAAGATTATAGCATACATTCAGGAACTATAAAAATTGGGATGAACAAAGTTTATATCTATGTGATTTGTCTTCTAAATGTTTTTGATATTCGACTTTGGAAAAAAAGGTGTTTAATAAATAATTATGATATTGATTAATAGTTGGATGTTTTATTATCACATTCTTAATGACCTTTGATTGCTTTATGAACTGTTATAGGCTCAACCCCTCACCTCTGGTGTCATACATGCTGACCCTCTTGTCAAAAGTTCCAGCCACCAAAACATCCGTTTGACAGGACAAGCAGAGGACAGCGGCCCCGGTCATGATCAGGCCCGCCGCTGCACCCCCCGCCTCTAGGTCCCACAGCCTCAGAGTGCTGTCGAAGCCCCCCGAGGCCAGCAGAGGTCCCTGAGACGCCAGGCACCAGACCCAGCCTTTATGAGTGCTGAACTCCCCCCTCGCTCCCAGTGTGTGCAACAGCGAGCCTGCCTTTAGATCCCACAGTTTAACATTCATGTCTCTGGAGCCTGTGGCGCACACTGCCCCCTCCCCCCCCAGCAGGAGGACTGAGTTGACCTGCGCAATGTGGCATGTAGGGAGGGTGGTGCACTCCAGCGCTGGAGGTGGGCTCGGACTTCTGGGGGGCGGACGTTGCTTCACCTCTACCGGTCTTCTATTACCCAGATTCCTTGGGTCTGCCAGGTTCTCCATGCGATTTGGAGCACCACCTAACGCCTCAATATCATTGAACACCATCCTGTGGTTCCTTTCTTCTACCATCAGTGCTCCTGCATCATCATTCAGTCTCTCTTCCAACTCCTCCCTCAATCTTTCAAGTTGGTCCCCACCTACAATGGGCTGAATTTCATCCTCTTCACCATCCATTACCACCTCCATTCCTTCATCAACACCATAAGCAACCTCCTGCCCTTCCACTCCTACCCCTTCCAGCTCTTCCTCTCTACCATCTTGCTGTCCTTCTACAACTGGCTCCTCTTCCTGCCCTGCCCTTTGCTGCTGCCTCACTTCTTGGCTTTCCTCCTCATCCTTTTTGGTCTGTTTTGCCACGAGATGCCCTTGGCCTGTCCAGCAGGTTATCAGCTGTTCTATCTCCAGGCAAGCAGAGGGCCAGTCAAAGTCTTCCCTTGGCCCCACTGGAAAGACAGCTTGGGATCCTATAAGTCTGCGAGCCCGGAGCTGCCACGCGGTGGTGTCCTTACCCACATTGCCTAAAGTATGGCAGACCTAAAAAGAGGAGGAAGAGGTAACATTTGTAATTGTTGCCATACTGTTCCTCAACTCTAATAGCAATGTTAACACTTGCATGAGGATGGCACATGTGCATGAGATTACACCTGACAACGGTTTCCCACTAGAAATACATCACATTGTGATACCTAAATCTAGTGATTAAACAACACAAATTGGCCTTCAAGACATCTTTAAAAAACTTGTATGGAAATGATGGAATGTTTGACGAACCTTTGGCAGCACAGTGATGACACACTGAGCAGGAAGGTGAGAGGCAATGTGTGTCAACATCTCCCATGGTAACGACAACAAGCCACTCACCTCAGCAGAAGGTGAGGGGCTAACATCTGTTGAGGACCGGGGACTAGCAGGCACAAGACTGGAAAGAAAATATAAAGCAACCTGGTTATTAACCACCCAGTGGTGTAAAGTTACTACATTTACTCAAGTACTGTACAATTCTGAAGTACTTGTACTTAAGTATTTCCATTTTATGCTAGTTTGTAATTATTTTCCACTACAATTCAGAGGCTTTTACCTCCACTACATTTACTTAGTACTTTTAGCTACTCGGTAAATATGCGTAAATGATTTTAAAAAAAATCTGATCAACACTTAAACAAGCCTTTAGTTACATCTGGATTAAATTCACGTGCTACCCAGCTGTAAATACAATAATTAAAATGTCATCATCAATGATTATAATGATATCATATGTATGATTTTGAAATGGGCTTATCTGCATGAATACTTTTGGTACTTTAAGTATTTAGATGTCAATACTTTTCGAATTTCACTTAAGTAACATTGTTGTACACCTACACTATGGTATTTCTACTTTTACTAGTAGAACATAGAGGTATTTTTCCACCTCTGATAATCCCTTATCCTTGTGTAAAATTAACAGCCAGTTGTTTTAGTATAAAGTAAGAAAGTCTTACCCCTTCAAGTCGGGCCTAGAAGCTTCAGCACTGGGAGATGTCAGCGGGTCAGGACCGGGTCCACTCTCCGAGTCACACACAGTAACCCTGGCCTCAGACATCACCTTTCCTCTGTCAAAGACCTCTACTTATTCACTGCTAACATTACTTTAAACTAACACTTCCTTTACTTTGTTTTGCCGTCGTCATACACTGTAAGATAACATCAATTTAAACTAGCATTACTTATATTTTATTTGGTCGTCACTCACTGTAACTAGCATTACTTTAAACTAACACTTCCTTTATTTAGTTTGGACGTCTTACATATGACAATGCAAATCTTTAGGTTAGCTTAGCGTGAGCTCAATGTAGATGCTTGAATAAAGCTTTAGTTACCCATGAATGCAATCCCTTTTTAGGTTTCGCCAGATAGGGGTATATAAGCACCTGATGAATGTTACATAAATATAAAAAAACGAACTTAACGTAACGTTGACAACGACAGCAGGTTAACGTTGGCTTTAAATGATGTCAGGTGCAGCCGTTGACGATGCTAAGCGCCGGTAACAAGCCTTCACCCAACAAAACAGTGACCACTATCTGTAAAGTTAAACTAACACAAATATGACTGGAATCTAATATGATTCAGGAATATCAAGTTTTGTCAAGACGAACATACCAAACGCAACTTCCTGTTCTTCTTCTTCTTTTTTTTAATAGCGAATCGCTTCCACTTGGAGCATATATCGCCACCTACTGTTGAGTTATTACATGTTCATATTAGACCCTTGTCCTCAGAACAGTGCTTTTGAGGAATTTGAAGATCAGCTTGTTTGCTTCATTTCTTGATTTACTTTCGTATATTGACTTGAAATCCATGTCCTTGACGTTGAGTTGTTCCAGTGCAGTTTTCAGAATGAATCTTTGTCTGTTATAATCCGGGCAGCTAAAAAATACATGATGTATTGTCTNCCGGAGGGTCGAGGAGTCGAGGAGGGGAAATTTGAGTATTGAGAAGCCTCTTTTGTCTGTTATAATCCGGGCAGCTAAAATGTATTGTCTCTGGTTGTTGGCAACCATCACAATTGCCATTTGGATGTTTTCCAATCAGATTCAGTGATGAGTTTAATCCAGAGTGTCGCAATTTTATCCTGCTGTTAATGCTCTGTTCTCTTCTACTACTCCCCCAAGTGCTTCCTGTTCCTACTTCCCTTTGTATCTGGTATAGATGTCTTCCTTTGGTGTTACTGTCCCATAGTTTTTGCCATTGTTGCTTGATAACCACTTTTGTAAAAGATTTGACTTCTGCTCTACTGATGGGTACCATAATATCAATCTGGTTTGCTTTCAAACCACATTTTGCCAGTTGATCCACTACTTCATTCCCTCTAATACCCACATGCGCTGGAACCCACACAAATTGAACAACAATTCCCAGATGAACTAACCTAAACATGATGTGAAAAAATGTCATATAAGATATCCTGACGACATTCTAAAGAGAAGTTGTCTATACTCTCCAGTGCTGCACTGGAGTCAGAGCAAATGACCACTCGCATTGGCTGTATTTCCACTGAAGTGCTAGAGAGATAGCCATCATCTCTACTGTATATACTGCAATGTGATCACTTGTACGCTTCCCCACTTTGACTTTTAACTCAGGAACATAAAATGCACAACTAGTTAGACCATTTTCTGGATTTTTGGATCCATCAGTAAATATTTTTATAAAGTGC